GATAAACCAGTCAACAAATACAAATGGTACTGTTACAATTGGTTACTTATAAAACTTTAGAGGCATTCCCATTAAAAACTGGAACTAAAGCCCGGCCTGTGTGCTCAGTGGTTGAGCATCAACCCAGGAACCAAAAGGTTACTGGTTCGAATCCTGGTTGGAGCACATGCCTGGGTTTTGGGGCTCCATCCCCAGTGAGGGGTGTACAGGATGCAGCCAATTGATGTTTCTCTTATTGATGTTTCTAGATCTCTCACTTCCTCTCTCTCTAAAAATTAATAAAAACATTAAAAAAGTAATAAAGATGTTGAAAAGCAAAGCTAACATTTAAAGAAAAGTCTGAAGGATGAAGTTTATGGTATGTGAATTATGTCTCATAAACCTGTTAAAAGTTAATCATTGCTTTTACTGAACACAGTTCTAACATAAAACCAATACAATAAAAGAGGAAAAGTAAGAGAGAAGCATAAAAATCAGAAAGGGAGACTAAATGTGCTTATATGCAGACAGTGATAGTCTACATAGAAAAATCCAAAAGAATCTATAAAAATTAGAACAAAATTCAGCATGGTTGCAGGGTACCAGATCAGTTAAACAAACACTGATGATGTTTCTACATACCAGATGTAACCAATTGGGAAAAATAATAAAGATCTCATTTTTAAAAATATATTTTTATTGATTTCAGAGAGGAAGGAAGAGGGAGAGAGAGAGACAGAAACATCAATGATGAAAGAGAATCATCCATCAGCTGCCTCTTGCACACTCCCCACAGGATCGAGCCCACAACCAGGGCATGTGCCTTTGACCGGAATCGAACCTGGGACCCTTCAGTCCGCAGGCCAATGCTCTATCCACTGAGCCAAACCAGCTAGGGCTCATTATTTTGTTTGTTTTTTAATTGATTTTAGAGACAGAGAAACATCAATTTGTTGTTCCACTTATTTACACATTCATTGGTTAATTCTTGAATGTGCCCTGATGGGATTGAACCTGAAACTTTGGTATATCAGGATGATAACTCCAACCAACTGAGCTACCAGTCCAGGGCCATAGATCTCATTCTTAATAGGAGAAAAATCTATAAGCATGTAGGAATATATTTAATATAAGATATGCAAGACCTTCATGGAGAAAATAAGACATTGTTGAAGGACATAAAAGAAGACCTATAGGATATACTAATATACTACATTCAAGGATGAGAACAACCAATATTGTAAAGATGCATATTGCCCCCAGATTAATCTGAGTTTAATGCAAGAATCTGACAATTGATGCTAAAATCCATCTAGAAGAGCAAACGGCTAAGAATAACCAAAAAATGTTAAGGCGAGCTGGGGAGACATGTATTTGCAGTAATTAAGACTGTGCCATATGGCATAAGAGATAAACCAGAGAACAAGACAGAAACAGACGCATGTTTAAAATATAATAGTGGCAGCCGAAACCGGTTTGGCTCAGTGGATAGAGCGTTGGCCTGCGGACTGAAGGGTCCCGGGTTCGATTCCGGTCAAGGGCATGTACCTGAGTTGCGGGCACATCCCCAGTGGGAGATGTGCAGGAGGCGGCTGATCGATGTTTCTCTCTCATCGATGTTTCTGACTCTCTATCTCTCTCCCTTCCTCTCTGTAAAAAATCAATAAAAATATATTTTAAAAAAAAAAAATAAAAAATAAAATAAAATATAATAGTGGTGGCATGAAAATCAAAGAGAAATGAACTAGTTAATCCATGATTTGATTCTATAATCAGTTATATATATGAAAAAATATATATGCCTAGAATAAATTCAAGGTGAATTAAAGATGTAAATGAAGAAAAGCAAAACTTAAAAAAAAATCTAGAAAGGCATGCCCTCCTGGGGCAAGCCTACTCAAATCTCCTTTTTGAGTGACTTTTCTTTCTCCTAAACTCTAAGGTTCTCATGAGACTTGCAACCAGGGAGCAATGGCAGTGGCAGCTGGACTGAGGCTAACCCCCTGAACCTGTCTCCACGGTTCCCTCTACTCTGCCTCTCTAGTGAACTGACAGAGCCCTGCCTTGGCTCATTTCTTTCCCATAATGTTTCTAGAGAGCCCCCCTAGGCTCTCTCCTGTTGCTTCTTCTATCCTAAGCTCTTCCTCGTTTCACTGTCCCCAGCTTTCATAAACAAACTCTCAAAATAAAATTTTAAAAAATTAGACTATCTGTGACCTTGGAGTAGGAGAGATTTCTTAGACAAGATACAAAAATATAGAAGATCAAGGAAAAGATTGATATATTTAAGTACATTAAAAATCTTTAACGTTTAAACATAAAAAAGGTACTATAAACAAAATTAATGGGAAGTCCTTCTTCTTGAGTTAGACTTACCCGCCTGGCCCCCCAATATTTCCAAATTATCTCTAAAAAACAAAAAAAACCCCACAAAATGAATGGAAACCACAGATTGGGTGAAAATGTAACAGATATTAACCAAAAAAGAATTAATATCCAGAATAAAGAACTCTTCCAATTAATAAGACAACCCAAGAGAACAATGGGCAAAAGATAACACAAAAATCTTCACTCAAGGCCACTGTATGTGCTGTACATTGCACCAACTCTACAGTGTGCCTTTCACAAACACTACAACATGAACAGCGCCCCCTAGAGTTGTGCAGTGCACAAACTCTACACTAAAAGATACAACTTACACTATACAGTTGGTGGCCCTGTGAAAATGCAAAGGAAAATAAACTATGGGATATCATTTCACACTCATCAAATTGGCCAAATTAAAAGTTTCGACATCTAAAATGTCAGGGAGTATGTGAAGCATCTGGAATTCTCAACTGCTGCTGTGAGGGTAAACCAGTACCATCACAATGGAGAGCAGTTTGTCAATATCCAGGGAAGTTGAGATCCAGATAACCCATGTCCTAATTACATCCCTACCCATGTATAAGAGTGATCACTGCAGCCTTGTTCGAATGAGCAAAAAATTGGAAACCAGCTGTCCATTAATAGGAGAATGTCCATTAACAGGAGAATGGAGACTTAGTATGCAGCATAGTCATACAAAGGAATCCTATACAGTAGTTAAGATGAATGTCCTTACGCTACATATGTCAACAAGTGAAAAAAGCAAGATGCAGCATATATTCAGCATATCATTTCTGTAAAGTTTAACGCCATCCAAAACAACTCTATGTACTTTTTACAGATGCAAATTTATGTAATAGAACTATAAACCGTGCAATTCAGGATGAAGGTTACCTAATGGAGGGAAGGGAATAGTAGCATGGAGGGGTAAATGTGGGATTTTAAATACAACTACTCATGTTTTACTTCTTTGGAAAGTAAAAACCTGAAGCAAACATAGCAAAATGTTTACTGTTAATTGTGTGGTGGGTGTTAATTTTTTCTATTGTGTCTGAAATATTTCATAACTTTTTATTTTTAAGTTACACAGTGAGAACAGAGATTGGTCCTTCTCAAAAGAGCACACAGTACCTCCACTTCTCACTTCCCTTCACTGCTCAGCCAAGGAGGCTAGCTTCCACTTCCCTGACCCTGCATTTGCTGAGGTTACAAAAAATAACCTTGTCTGCCAATAGGGGAGCAGGGGATGATAAGGTTCTTTGTTCTTACCTTCCTTGATTCTCTTTCTTTTAATATATTCTATACTTTACTCCCTCCTTAAAGCTCTAAGATAGCTTTCTCCTGGTTTTCCCTGGGCCTCTGGTCACATGCTTTCCTCTGCTTCTCCACCTGCTCCTGAACTCTGTTCCTTAGGGTTCAATCCAGAGTCCCCATTTCATTCTATACACATTCTCTCTAGATGATTTTACTCTAATCCATGTCCCCAAAGACTTCCTATAAATAGAGACTCCAAAATCTCTATCTCCAGCCCATCTCTCTCCTGAGCCCCAAACCGAGTCCCTCCAAATGCCCACTCTAGGTCCTTATCCCATGATATCACAGAAATCCTAAACTTGGAAACAGCTTTGTCCCCTGCCTGCATCGCCTGCCCTGCAAGACCATCTCCTCTTCCTCTGCCCCCTTTTCTGATACATGGCACCACATTCCATCCTGTCACCCATACAGTAACCTGGGAGCCATCCTCTACGTATACTCCCTCATCCCCTACTGCAATCAGCCATCAGCCTCACCAGCCTCTGTGTATTTCTCAAGTCAGTCCCCTCCCTATGGCTCCTAAAACCATTATTGTCTGGGTGGGCCTTGTCATTTCTAATTACTATGGTAATCCCCCAACTATGGTCTCCTTGCCATCATCCCCACCTCTGCCAATCCATCCTCTTTGCTACAGAAGAGACCAATCTTTTTTTCTTTAAATATATATTTTATTGATTTTGTACAGAGAGGAAGGGAGAGGGATAGTTAGAAACATCGATGAGAAACATCTATCAGCTGCCTCTTGCACACCCCCTACTGGGGATGTGCCCGCAACCAAGGTACGTGCCCTCGACCGGAATATAACCCGGGACCCTTGAGTCCGCAGGCTGACGCTCTACCCACTGAGCCAAACCGGTTAGGGTGAGACCAATCTTTTTAAAATGCAACTTCGATCCCAACACCTTTTCTCAAAAAATAAATAAATAAATAAATAAATAAATAAATAAATAAATAAATAAATAAAAATTCCTGAAATGCTGAGTCAGGACTAGAACATTCCCTTTCACAGGGTATATAAAGTCCTCCCCAACATGCCCCAAGGATCTCTCCAGCCCCTTCAATACTTGCCAGCCCAGCCATGGTGTGCTTTCATCTCTGACCTTTGCATATGGTGATTCTCTACCTCAGATATCCTCAAAACTGTCTCCATATGTACCACCATTTCCCTTTACTTGCCTAATCCTTCCCCTTCACCTCTTTGCTCAAGTATATCTGGGCCACTTCCTCTCCCAGGTTGGGTATCGACCTCAGATGACATTGTACTGTCCCACTGCAAAGGCTGTGACCTCTTTCCTATTGGTCGATGAACAAGAGAACTATCCCCTATCCTTGTACCTCAGGTGCGTAGCGCCTTGCCTGGCATATTGATGGTGTTCAGAAGACATGCCTGGTCCACCTGGAGCTGAGAGCTTACTTAACAAGTGCTAGTGCAATCTTCATTCTGCAAGCAGTGGCTGAAACACACCGCGCCACCTGGAGAGCATGAGGCAGGTTTGTGCACCAGGGCACCAATCCCAAAGGTGGTCTGAGGATCTCCTTCAAGGAGAATTTGGAAGAAGGTAATATAGCTATGTTCTTATTCTTAAAAGACTCTTTAATTAGACTGAATGGTAGAACGCTTTAAAAAGCACAATTGGTTCCCCTTTTCGTCTTTTATTTCCTTAGGGAGAAAAAAAGATCCTGGTGGTTGACATGTGGGAGGCAGAGCCATGAGTTCCATAGGAGGATCTATATATAGCTTTGCTTCCTTGCCTCCTTAGCAGCTGGAGACAGGCTGTTGCTTCCAGATGTGGGATGGAGAAGGTGCATGCAGGCAAACTTACACATGCCTGGTGTGCAGCAAGAGGCTCCACAAACATTTGCCCACTATGCTTCTCCTGAAGACAATCTCATGTTTATTAGCATAAGCTCTGGAAATTGGGACTAGCAAATTGAAGAGTCACTTATGAGCTGAGTGACAGACCAAGGTTGGTGTTTCCTATGTGCCAGGCACTGTACACATGGTGGGCAGCCCTTCTCATACCTATCTTGTGCATGATCTCATCTCATTCCCTCAGCCCTATTGCCAGGGGGTAGTGCTGCTCTCATTTCAAAGGTGAGCACACTGACACTCTGATAATATAGTTACCTCCTAAGATCACACAACCAATTTACATCCTAGAGTACAATTCAAACTCAGGGCTACAGCCAAAAGCCCCTGAGGCCTTGTTTCTCTGGCTGCCTGCTGGTTTCAGCGGGTCCTGCTGTGCTAGGATAGAAGTGCATTCACAATGGCACTGGATAAGTGAGGAATAAAAGTACAACCTAAAAATATCAGCTGAAAAGGAACTCACGGGAGGTCAGGACAGTTCACAAGTGGCAGCAATAAAAAAGGAAGTTGATGAAATCTTGGAGTGGCTGGGGGAATATACATCAAGAAGAGCTCTTCTTTCTCTCAAGTAAAAGAATCTAATTCAACAAAAATGGGCAAACTAGATTATGTGCATTTATTGTTGGGCAAAGCTTGGGTTGCCCGTAGTATAATTCCTCAGAGATTTCCTGAGAGATTGCACATAAAGGTCCTGTTGTTGAACTAAAGAAAGATGCTGGGAATGGGCTGTTGTCAGGTTGGTTTCACCACCAAGGGGCCCACCGTGCCTCTCCCCGGGGAGACATTGCGGGTTTCAATGCGCTTTTCTTTCTCTTGGCTGCCTGAGCATACAGCCATCACTGTTTCCATTGTGAGCTCTTCTCCTCTGGAGCCAAGCCCAAGTTCAGGGAACATGTGCTCAAGACACATTTGGCAGCCTGGCTCCCCACTTGCAGTGACTTTCTGCCTTTGCCTTTTCCCCATCAAGACACTTTCCTGCACTTGGAGGTTGAAAAGCAATGCTGAACACGCTTAGTTCTAAAAGCTGGTTCTGAATCCTGCTGGCTCATTGGGATGAGACACAAAAAGTCCACACCAAATACAGAACCCAGGTTACTGAACTCAGATGAGAATTACTTCCATCCCTTCCTTGTTACAGACATTACTGAGGCCATATGTTTCTCAAAGCATCAATGGGCTCAGTTTCCTGAAGAAAATTTCTCTTGTATTATTTACCCCATTAAGAATTTTTATGAGAAATCCCACCTTACCGTTGAACAAAATTGAGCATCCTACTAACTGGGACCTTATTTTGTAGAACAGCTCACAGGTTAGAAATCAGAGATTAAACACTTTCCCTACATCTACACAGGCAGTGGCAAGAGTTGGTATGAGAACATAATTACTTGAATATCCAGTCCTATAAGGACGAGTTTATTTTTAAAATTTTTAAATTGAGGTCGAATTACACACAATAAGCACAGATCTTGTTAAGTGTAGAGCTAAATAAAGTTTGAAATTTTTTACACTCATATAGTCAGCACTCTAATCAAAACAGAATGTTTCCATCACCCTAGAAAGTTCCCTTGGGCCTTTTCCCACTCAACCCCAATCTCCCATCTTCCCCCACCAGGCAACAACCACTGTTCTGATTTCTATGATTAGTTTGAGGCCCCACTTTTAAGAAGTGAAAATTGAATGTATGCAACTTTGCCTGCTTTCCTGAAGTGTCTCTGCAGAATTTTGCTCTCCCCTTTGGACCACAAGTACTACTTAAGCTTTGTTTTAGATCCATCTGGAAAGCCTTTCAGCAAGTCAGTCTTTGTCCCAGTACAGACACATTTAGATTTAAAGGAATTTACATTTATAGGTTATGGAGGTCAATTATGATTCCTCAACATGCGGTATAAAAAGAACTCGTCTTTCTGGAACATACAGTTGCTTTCTCCCAAAACATCTGCCTTCTTGCCTTTCTGTATCCAACCACTCCTCAGGATAGCAGCCTTTGTTTCTGTGGAAAGGATTGCTTGAGCCTTTGAAAGTGAGCACATATGCACCCTATCTTTCTACTTGGAGGCCATTTCCTGGTGTCAGTAACCTTCCTGCTGCAGTGGGACTCTGAACAGCTCATCTGACTTCCCCAGACATCATCCCAGAACAGTGGTAGCTGAAAATGTAATAGCCAGCAAGGGAACTTAGAAACTGGAAACTGGGTTTTAGAAACTGGAAAACTTTGAGTAAGTCTTGCTCAGAACATGGTCTTAAAGCCAAAGAATGTTGCCAAGGTCCAGGTGGAGGCAGCTTTCCGCCAGCCACAGACACGATGAAAGCAGACGGTGCCTGCTTCTCTTCCCCCCGGAGCGCTGGCGGCCAGGCTGGGTCATTTTCTCCACAGCAGATTCATCTCCCCAGACAGTGAGCTAATGCTTGGCACTGGCAAACTCCATGAAAAAAAAAGGCACTTAACCCCGCGGTTTGAGGCAGAAATGACTTCATGGAATATATACACAAAATTAAATCAAGCTAAGTTTTTTTTTTTTTTAATATTCTAAAGAAAAAGAAAATGATGCACACACAGTCGTAACATTAGAACCCACTTGTGAACATAGAACACCAAAGTGTAAACTCTCCTGAAAGAGTCAAATTCCAGAAGTCATTTTGTTAGGAAAGAGATAATTCTGTGGAATTATAAACAGAGCTGCCGAAAGCATGTGGTGAGTCCCTCTTTCCTATACAGTATAACTGAATATTTTCTGGTGTTCCTACAGTTTAAATAAAGAAACTTTTTTCCATTTTTTTTAATTTCTAAAAGTGTATTTTTAAAATAGGTACTATATTAATATGATTCAATTTTTTTTTTTTAATAACAAAATATAAAGGGTCTTCAGGGACAAGTGTCCCTCCCACTCTTGGGCCCCAGCCACTCCCTCTCCTTCCCCATAGCCTGTTAGTGGTTTCTTGTGTATCTGTCTATTCAGAGATAGTTTAGCATATACAAACAAACAGATATATAACTTCCATCGTTCTTTATAAAAATATATATTTTTATTGATTTCAGAGAGAAAGGGAGAGGGAGAGATAGAAACATTAATGATGAGAGAGAACCATTGATTGGCTGCCTCCTGCATGTCCCCCACTAGGGATGGAGCCTGCAATCTGGGCATGTGCCCTTGACCGGAATCGAACTTGGGACCCTTCAGTCCACAGGCTGACACCCTATCCACTGAGCCAAACCAGCTAGGGCTCATCGTGGTTTTTATTTTTTTTTTAATATATATACAAATGAAATGTTATAATGCTGTCTTGCATTTTGCTTTATTTTTTGCACTCATACTTAGAAACAAAATTTTGAAGATATATTTAAGTAAAGCAAAATTATATATTCATTTACCCTTTGATTCAGCAAATCCCACTTCTAAATTTATTGGCAAAAATACAAAATATTTTATGTAGCTTATTCCAGATGAGTCTTACTATCTGCAGGGACAGGCTAGTCCTGGGAGGAGCAGTCTCTCTGGGATCAGCTAGGCCTACTCAAAACAATAGGAATTTATCTCACATAATTGAAGTCCACCGTGGGCACTAGCTTCAGGCATCCAAACAAGGTCACCAGAGCTTTGATTTTCTTGGCTGTTTCATTCTTTGTTGCCTTAATTCTCAAGCTGGCTGTCTTTATGTGAAGGGCAAGTTCCAAGATTCTGTGGCCCTTACAGCTCCTGATACAAGAGGAGAGAGAATCTTTCCTGATAGCTCTGGCAATAGTTCCAGGACTGTCCAGGCATAGCTCACATTCCTGGAGCCAGGAATAAGGTTTGCTTCAACCAAGTCTCATGGTTGCATAGAGTTTCCCACTGAGCAGGAAAGGGTGGCTCTCCGAAGGAAGAAAGGCTGGGTATACGAAAGATACGTCCACTATGCGAGGCACAGCTCTAGAACTTGCAGAGATTAAAACATCATCTCAGCACAATACATTTGCTGAATTAATGTAGGAATACAAAGCAGAGTATCACTTTTAAAGTATCATAGTATTTCAAATTCTTAGTCCATATTTTAGAGAAGCAATAAAAAACAAGGCAGGACAGATAGATACGAAGGTCATTAGCGAGATTCCATTTTAGCAGACAGCTGCTTCAGTCAAGTATAGATTGTTCCATGTTCTGGAGTTCCATCCCTCTTGCACAGAAGAGAGATGTGGCTCTGGTAGAAGGCAGACTTTTGTCCTCATTCAGCCTCAAGAAAAGCTAAGGCTTATCCAGCACAAAGGGAAAAATATGGTCCAGCATGAAGGGCTAGAAAATACCTTGCTACCAGTAAGCTCTTTGCAGACTTTCTCTTCTTATTTAAACTGGTGGTAATCCGGGGGGTTTCTGATCCAGGACCCAAATGCCTGCTTCCGGAGTGCGCTCCAGGCTTCCTGGTAAGCAGATGCAGCCTCCTTGTACTCCTGGTATGTTTCTAGCTTCCACACCCTAATGCACACATAACCACCAAGCACACAGGTTCTCATTGAACAGCTCACCACTATGGCCAACAAGACACCTGAGCAATCAACTGTTCAGATTTACTATAAGAGACTTAGGAACAGGATAATCTTAGTATGCTTTCCTAGAGAGACTCTGGCTCCTTTGTAAGAAATCCACTACAAAGTAACATGGATTAAAACAGGCAAGAATGAGACCTTGTTCGTGTGGCTCAGCTGCTTGGAGCATCGTCCCATACACCAAAAGGTGTTGAGGGCACAAACCCAGGTTGCAAATTCAATCCCTGCCCTTGTCGGGGCATGTGCAGGAGGCAACTAATCGGTGTTTCTTTCTCTCTCTCTCCCCTTCCTCTCTCCAAAATCAATTTTTTAACCCCCCCCCCCAAAAAAAACCACCCAGCCCAGCCAGTGTGGCTCAGTGGTTGACCACTGACCTTTGAACCAGGAGGTCACAGTTCGATCCCTGGTCAGGCATATACCTAGATTGTGGGCTCATCCCTGGTGTGGGGCGTGCAGGAGGCAATCAATGATTCTCTCTCATCATTGATGTTTCTATCTCTCTCTCCCTCTTCCTCTCTGAAATCAATAAAAAAAAAATTAAAAAACAAAACAAAACAGGCAAGACTAAACAGAATGCTAGCTTTGACTGGTCCTGGTGAAATCAGATAAAACAAGAATAACTATTATATTTTTGGTTTAAAATTTCCTAAGTGTCTGTAATTTCCACCAGAGCATACAGCCATTAGAAACCTCTTGGCTACATTTTCCTTAACAAAGCAAAGCACTTTCCATTCTACCCATACTCTCCTATACCAGCCAACAACATCCCTCCCAATCCCTTAGTCGTCTCTGCCTGCTAAAAAATGGCCACGTTGAGTAGTATTTGTAATACTTATATCCTGTTAAGAGATTTTCTTGTGACAGACTCTTCTCTCCTTTGACCAAATCTGAGTCAGGCTCCTCTGAGCCCTTTTCTCAACTTGGACCTTGAGCTCTGTCCTTGCATCTTATAGTTGAAGAAACTGATACTCCTGTCTTATTGATCCAATTTGCCCTGCTTCTAAGTTGTATCTTAGCTCACTTCAGCAGGGCAAAGTTGCTAACTGCAGCAAAAATTGATTTCAGTTGTTTGATCAATTTCCTACAGCTTTTTGTTGGTTAAAGGGTGGGATCTACACACATGACAATGTTAAACTTTACCTAAGCTTCGAGTTTCTAAAACACAGCGATGGTTAAGAAATCTTCCTCCCATCCTTCTGTGTCCTGGGAAATGGCTGATCGCAAAGAACTGCCTTTTCCCATGACTTAGATAAGACTCATGGATGCCCCCCTGGGTTACTTATGACAGGACAGACACAGACACATCAAATTCCCACTCTTTGCCTCATAATGATTAGCTGAAACCACTGACCAATCTTGACAAAATACCTGGTAACTTGACCAAATATTACTTACACTTCTCTCATTAGCCCAGGCCCCAGAACTTTGATCCAACCTCAACCTGAGCCAGCACCAGAATGTATAACCACCCCTTAACAGCCCCTCCTGAGAACTGACTGACAGCAAGAGAAGACATTTCCTGTTCAACTGTCCCATCACACCACCTGCTCATCCCACTCCCCCATTCCAGGTTCTGTTTAGTCTTGCACACCCCTCCGTATAAAAGAAACCCCCTTTCCATCTGCCCTTTGAGAGGCTTACAAAGCTTATGACTGGAGTGTTCTTGCCACTGCATTAGACCTCCTACTGTAACAGACCCCTTCTCTTACGCAATAATCCTTCTGAGTAAAGTCTCTCCTTACCTAAGTCCAGATTTGTTTTTAACACAAGAATGTATGAAAACCCACCCAGTTCCAGCTTGATTCATTCTTCCAGACAAGAAACAAAAAGAAACTGACCACCAAAGACTGAAGGGCATCAATACTGACCACAGTATGGATGATGGTGATAACGGTGGCTAGCCTCTTCATATAGAAGTTTCTGGCTACTCTGCTGCTTCCCTACTGCTATATAATAAAGATTTTGGCTGGTCTTTGTTGCCAGTTCCTAAATGGGAACCTTTAAATCCTTAGAATTTCCCCAGTGATAGGACTGTTTTTGTTATTCATGGTGAACCCTGAGATCACACCTAAGTTTATGTTTAACAAGGTAACTCATTGTGGGCCCTAGAGTTTCAGAATGGGGCTGGCCATACCAGAAAGACCAACCAGGAGATGAGAGAATTGGAGTACTGAGACACCTGATACCACTATAGCCTCCTAGGGTGGGAGGAGGAGACGAAGACTGAGTTCAATCATATCATGTGAACTATGAGTCAATCAACCATTCTTATTAATAAAAACCCAATAACTCTGGACCCTGAAGCGCAGGTCAGCTTCTTGGTTGGTGCTGAAAGGGTGATGCATCCTCGGGACGTGCAAACATCAAGTTTGGGGCTCTCCCAGACCTTGCCCTATGTGTCCCTTCTTTTAGCTGGTCTTAACTCATATCTCCGCCCCCCCAATATATTTTTATTGATTTCAGAGAGGAAGGGAGAGGGAGAGAGAGATAGAAACATCAATGATGTGAGAGAATCACTGATCAGTTGCCTCCCATGACTGGGGATCAAGCCCACAACCCGGGCATGTGCCCTGACCAGAATGGAATCTGGGAACCTTCAGGCCGCAGGCAATGCTCTATCCACTGAGCCAAACCAGCTAGGGCCTAACTGGTACTTTTTAAAAGGTGAAAGGTAATTGTAACTACGATGCTTTCCTATCAGTTGTTCTGGTGAATTATTAAACACGAGTGGCAACCCCCCGGGTTTGTAGTCAGTGGGTCAGAAGTATGAGTGCCTTGGGGCCCCTGAGCTTGTGGCTAGCATCTGAGGTGAGGGCAGTTTGTGAGGGCAGTGCCCTTATTCTGTGAAGTTTTGCCTAACTCTAGGTAGTTATTGTCTGATAACTGAAAACGTTTGTACCACAAACCACCCATCCTCCATACCTCAGATCATACACGGATCTACAAGCAGGGCCATGGGGACGGGATGGAAGAGCATGTGGTCAGCAATGAGCACCCACTGGCCTATGGAAACACCACTCCTGCTAAAGCTTCCTGCTACGCATGAGCCAGTGCGAAACCAGAAGTCTTCCTAACTATGAAAAAACATGGGTCAATAGTGTTACCTGAGGGAGTCCGGCCACTTGTCCTCTGAAATACTGCTTAGCAGCTCCTGGAATGATCTAAAGAGTTCCACTTTGCTGATTCGAGATCTGTTTGGAAAAAGACAAAAAGGACTCATTAAGTGTTTGCTACATATCAGATCCCTATCAAAGATGCGAGGCTTCACATGGTATTTAGGTTTCCATGTGCCAGAGCCCCATTTCACCTGTACTGGCAAGGAGAAAATCTAGACCTGAGGCTTTGATTAGGTCGAGGCACAAAAATGAATCTCATCTTTAGAAATGTCACCAGCAGTGAAATCATCAAGGGACAGGTTCGAATGGGGTAAAGGCAGAGGTGAAATTACCAAATTCCCCCCCAGAACACCCTCCAGAACACATTGGCTACCTCCTTTCAAGAAAGCTGGCCCCTTGGGTAACACTGTTTACAAGAAATTAAAAGCTTTGTTTCAGAACCTTGAGTGCTGCTCCTTGTATGGAGTCCACTTGGATGAGCCATCCGAGGCAGTCTCCAGACTCTCCCTTTGGGCACACGAGCCATTGCAGGCCAACCCATTGCTTCTAACATCAAGCTTTAGGGAGGTCATCATTTGAACAGTGAAGGAAGTGAGTGTGGATTCCTTACCAGCTCACCTGGGGCTTCTTGGTTTGGCCCATCCACGTCGGTGTGTCCTAGACTGTATGTACCTCCTTCCTTTCCCTCATAAACACAATTCATGAGCTGATTTAGAAGTTGGGAACTGTTGCGTGTGCCCACAATGTGTGTCTCGTGTCTACACACCATATCCTCCACTGTTTCCACAAATGGCACCATCAGCTTGGACACAGTGGCCATATTGGAACATACGATATAGGGGATTGTACAATCTGTCAAGAGACTCCCTTACCTGGCTGGGACCTGGCCTACTGAAAAGAATCATGGCTTAAAGCAGAACCTTGAGCCCTCACAGGCTGCTTTCCCTGGGCCTTAATTGTGGTAAGTGGCTATTGGCACTCAGGAATATAAAGCTGCTTTAACATTAAAAAAACCCTCCAAAGCCAAAAAAATAATGGAACTCACCTCATTAACAGATTAGAGGAGAAAAGTAATATAACTATGAGGAAAATGTATGCAGAAAAAGAATTTGTTAGAATTCAACATCCATCAAATGACTTAAAACCTTTTACAAATGAGAACTAAGAAAGGTATTGAAATTCATGCAGGGTATCTATAAAAACCTACAGCAAATATATGTCCTTAAAATCAGGAATAAGACAAGAGTACTTGTCATCACTGCTTTTATCTAACATTATACAAAGGTTCCGTACAGTAAGCCAAGAAATAAAAGGAATAAGGATTGAAAAGCAAAAACTAGCTCTAGTTGGTTTGGTTCAGTGGATAGAGCATCGGCCTGCAGACTGAAGGGTCCCACATTCGATTCTAGTCAAGGACACATGCCCAGGTTGCGGGCTCGATCCCCAGTAGAGGGTGTGTAGGAGGCAGCCAATCAATGATTCTCTCGCATCATTGATGTTTCTATCTCTCCCTCTCCCTTCCTCTCTGAAATAAATAATAATATTAAAAAAGAAAAGCAAAAACCAAAGCCTTTATTTGCAGATGAGTGTGATGTTATCAGTTCTAGCCAGCACATTAAGTCAAAAAAATGAAAGAAATGGAGGATTAGAGAGGAAATGCTACTTGCAAAAGATGATCTATATTAAAAAATTCTAGGCCCTGGCCAGGTAGCTCAGTTGGTTAGAACATCGTCCTGATACGCCAAGATTTGGGGTTCAATCTCCAGTCAGGGCACATATAAGAAGCAACCCATAAATTCTTCAATAAGTGGAACAACAAATCAATGTTTCTCTCACTTTCAAATTCAATAAAATTTTTAAAAATTCCAAAGGAATTCCTAAATAAAATAATAGTATAATAAGTGTTAGCACAAGTTGCTGGATACAAGCACTGATTGCAGCAGAGAGTAACAAATAGATATAAATTTATTTTGTAATCCCTCAGTCTTTTCTTTTATAATCCAATGAGCTACATAATAATTCTTTGGGATGCTTGTTATCTGGACAGGGAGGGGAAGAGAATTTTCCGCTTTAGGGCAAAGGAATTTGCCTGTAAGAAGCAGGATAAAATAAAGCTTCTCAAAAATGAGGGTCCTGTTATCTCATTGTTGGTAAAAAAACAAATGAAAACACGAAGATTTAAATAAAATAGTTCCTTTAGTGTTGCACTAGTATATTGTCCCAGTCTGAGTTCCTATTCCCTATAGTTCTAAAGAAGGTGGTCCCTGGATGCCAGCACTCAGGAATGAGCAATGAGAAAACCTGCTTTTCCCCCAGCAGCTGCTGGTCTTTAGAATAAAACTGACTCTTTCACAAATAATATGAAGCTTTATTTGACAAATGAACGGGAAATCCATCTTAACAAGATGTCTACTGCAAGCCCTACACCATGTTAGAGGCATCCTTTCCTTCAATTTTCACAACATGCCTGTGCAATGCATACTCTTAGTTACCCTTGCTTCACTGCTTGGAAAATGGAAGCGCCTAGGCCAGAGTAATCTTTCCAAGTTCACACAACCAGGAAGAAAGGAAGCCAGGAAGTACAAAGCGCCTGCTTTTCTGACCATATACTTCCTCCCTGTGTGGAGTTTGCCTTCTAAGTGCAGAGAGACAATGTGTCAAAGACCTCAGATCATCTACTCCAATGTCCTCGTTTTACAGATATGAACACACTGAGGCCCAGAGGGCAGGGGGGCTTGTTCAAAGTCAGCTGGATAACTAGAGACAGAGCAAGGTGGGAACAGGAGACACTCCCAATCACACAGAAATCAATCACGTGTTGGGAGAAGCTGGAGAACACTACTATGGGAATTTAGAGAAAAGATCATTTTGAGCCAGAAGGCAGTGGTGGTTGAGCTGAACGTTTAAAGTAAAAGAGGGTGTGCATTCACAGTGAAGAAGAGCATTTTATATTTAAGCAAAGTAGCAAACCTAAACCACAGTCAGGCGGGTGGGGCCAGTAAGAGCTGCTGCTAGCCCCTCACCAAGACTCAGCAGGAAACATGTGGTTCCTGTCCCTCATGACCTGCTTTGTCCCCTGAGAGGTGCTGACAATGGTGGCCTGAAGCCAGGAAGGCTCTTGGGGGAAAACTCCAAAAATCTCTACCCACAACAGTTTTGTAAACATTGCTCAAGTCAACATCCTAGGCCACCAGGGACAGGCCAAGTCTGTTGTCTAGGCCATTTAAAAGCTGGTTAATGGCTGTGAAGAATGAACCTTTTTTTAAGTCTAATAAGATGTAATTAGTTATTGTATGTGTTGAATCAGACAAATAAACAAGTCAAAAAAAATCCACCTGTGAAATTCAATTTCACAGCTCAACCCAGATTGTGGCGGAGAGGCCACTCCCCCACAACCCCTCCCACCCTCAGGCTAATGCTAAGTGAATTAAGTTAGACATAAAAGGCCACATGATGTATGATACTATTTATGTGACACATCTAGAATAGATAAATCTGTGGAGACAGAATGGAAATTAGGGGCTGCCAGAAGTGGGGAGAGGGAAGTGTGGGGAGTGACCGTTAATGGTTATGGGGTTTTCTTTTTGGGATGATGAAATGTTCTGGAATTAGTGGTGTGGTATAAGTACTCAGCCACCATCTCCTTCTGTCCCAATGTGCGGTACCTGGCCTGAAGGCTTCTGATTCCTTTCTTTGTTGTTCCCTGTGGAAAGCCATTGGCAGTGACATCCAATGGCTGCTCAGGAACTGCACTCCAGCTGATGGCTGTGAAAAGATAAGATTCTAGAGTTAAAACTGTTCAGTTTTCTATAAACCCCAGAAGTGTTTTGATAAAAATATTTCCATGGCCCTAACCGGTTTGGCTCAGTGGATAG